AGTAATTTAAATCGAAATCAGAAATGATTCCTTCTGTTAGGAAAAAAAAAAACTTTTCAAATTGTTTATCTACAAAAATTCCTAAAGATGCTAATGCTGTCTTCTGTAGATAGATCATTTCAATAATCATGCCGTCTAATCACCATTTTGATATGCCACACTTGTGAGGTGGATGGATTATCTCGGCAAAGGAGCAGTGCTCACTAACACAGATGTAAACAGATTTGTGAACAATATATGAGAGAAATAGGCCTTTTGTATACATAGAAAAAGTCTTAGATCTTTGAGTTCGGCTCATGAAAAATGGGGGCAAAAACAAAAGTGTTGTGTTTGTAATTTTGTTCAGTGTACCTATATTACATGATCTGCCTGCTATTCTAATGGCAGATCATATTTTCAAACCTCAAAGTGTGCTGATAGTGACATCATCTTTGTTATTATTTCCTTTGGAGAACATGCAACAAAGCACAGATTCAGATTGCCGCCGTGTACAACAGGAGCAAGTATATTAGTTGAAAGTGTAACTCCCATCATTATTACTAGGCAGGTGTGACTATACTATACTAATACTATTTAGATGTCACACCTATCTTATTATGATGAGATTTACAATGCCGAGTTCTATATTGCGGAGTCACCACTTATGTGATTCCAATAGACACACAGAGATAGAGACTTTAAACTAACCTGGCTCCTGGTTGTCAAAGTTAGTTTAGAATTTAAAAAAAAATCCAACATACCATGTCAACCCGGACAGTGCACCGTTCCTGGCAAAAACAAAACGTCTGGCAGGCTTTCTGAGGAATCCTCACACATAAAATGACTGTTATATATATATATATATATATATATATATACAATACATAACAGTGAATGGCCTAATATAGCGATGTAATGCCATTGAAGGGTTCTGGAAACTTCATAATAAACCATTGAGGGGTTCTAAAAATATACTAAATACCCTGCATAGCAGTTCTGAGAGAATGTTTCTGCAATCTTCTCAGAATACTTTGTTCGACAAGAGCAAAGATAGTTTTTCTTTTGCGCACCATTATAACATATAATTTCTTGATTCCTGGAAAGCAATTTTTTTTTTTTTTACAGATAGATTTTTTTTTTCTTATTGTCTTAATTGGTGAAAAACAACAGTTCTCATTTAAATGGTAATATTTATTAAATTATCATTACGGCGGCTGTTGCATAACTGAATCACATTATTGCCTAAAGCTGCATTTGTTCTCAAATATGCCGCAGCATTTAAATAATCGCTTATGTGTATATTTTCTATATTTCTTGTTACAGTGAAATAATAATAACATGTAAAAAAAACAAATAAAACGTAATCTAGATGGAATGATGTCACAGACACCGCTACAAAAAAAGAGATTCATTGTAATGTCATCATCAGCAGTCTAACTATATAAATGAGATGTGTCTTCGATAACAGCTGTTAGAGCTAAAGAAAAAAAGCAGGTGGCTAGGCCACCTAGGACCAAAGAAACACTTTCTCCGTGAATAAAGTCTACGCAGGTTTTCGTACTAATTCTTAAGATGGCTAACAGATGTATTTGAGACTGATAAGAGCGTTGGCACACTGCCCGTCTTTTCAAAGCAGATTCCCTGCCAAACAAAAATGTATCATCAAATTCCTAATTGAACTAAAAAAAAAAAAAAAATACACTTCTATTATTTTAATGTTAATTTCTTATTTAAGTAAACTCAAGGCTTAATTTTCTCTTCATTACTTTACACATTTTTTTCAAAGCATTACCATTCATTAATACATTCACAATTAGGCAACATTAAATGATCTCAATTTGCTTTCATAGAGAACCAAAATGTAACAAATACAAAGATAATTACATTTTTTTAATTCACTACAATCCAGTGTATTATCTCATGCATTTTAATAGACAATTAGACTTATTTAAATAAAATGTTCCGATTTTCCCAAAAAAAAAGATGTGCAACCCAATACTTTTTTTTTTTAATTTCCAACAATAGATGTCTAATACTGGAACATGTTCTCAGATACAACAACATATTTCATACATCCCCACACTATACTTAGACAGAATACTTTTTATAATGACAATCTTGTAAATATAAATGAAGGCTATACATCTCCCTCCATGACCTTTTCTTGCCTTCCTTTATTTTATTTTCTGGGTTTTCAAAACTCGATTCCCATTAAAATTTCCTTACGTTCGATGTTATAATTATAATCCAGCTTGATCTTCTAGAGTCTCAGTCATTCTGATGGATCCCATTGCCAAATCTTCAACTGTGCGTGTGGAGACCGAAAAAAACACAACAAAGGTTGACTTTGATAAATGTTGTTAATTACAGATTCTTTTTCATTTGTTTGATCGTATTTTGAAGATATTTGTCACTATATGCACAAATAGGAGGTTCAAATTTGCCCTTCTTGTCTCAACAAAGGAAAACAAGGCATGTATTCTCATTTTGGCCCCTTTGTTCTGCATTGACTGTACTTATAATTTGCTTATACTTACACCTCTTGCCAAGACGTCTCTAGTGCTAAACCCTTCATATGGAACTCCCTTCCCCACTCCACTAGATTCTCCCTTATTCACCATTCATTTAGAAACTAATAAAAAGTCACCTATTCAGAAAGACATATGAATTAAAGAGTTGACAATCTCCCTTCCCTACATTTCATTAACCCGCTTCTGTTTTTCCCCCCTCTATCATACTACGTTCATGGAATCTATTTTATTGTAAACTCACTTTGTGACTAATTCTACTATTCATGGACAGAAAGTAGACTGTAAGCCCATTTGAACTGGTCAAGATCCTGACCATCTTCTGTTCCTGTATGTCCATCTTGTCTTGACTCGTTTGTTTGTCTGTCTGATGATCAGCACTGCAACATGTTGATGCTTTATAAATAATAATTATAATAGGAATAATAATATGTTGCACCACATATTTAACTTGGTTGCTGATTACTAGACTTGTACACAGCGAACATTTTCTGTTCTTCCAAATTGATTTGGTTAAGTTATTGGGTCAGAAGTATTTTGGCCCCAAAATTTTCAGTTTGATTCAGAATACATTGTTTGGGACTGAAATTTCTGGGGAAGCTCTAAAAAAAACCCAAAAAACATGTGTCTATAGCAGTGGTAGTTTTCTACCTACCGCCCACTAATGCATCTTTCTTGATGGTAAAATTCCCTTACCGCCCACCAGTTTTTGCGCAAGTGCAGAATATTTTTTAGAAAGGAGGGTGTTTAAAAAAAAATAAAAAAAATGTACGTACATTTATCTTTTTATTTCTACTTTATGCATGTTTATAATGTTTTTAACTTTATAAAGTTTAATGAGAAAAAAATAAAGTAAATTGAAATTACCTTTACTAGTGATTAATGAGATCCTTGAAGTTGATGCTGCGAGATTAAATATTTGATATCTGGTTTGATTTTCGTAAGGATCAAACGAAGGTCTCCTCTTTCGGTGATATTCAGACAATTTCTCTGTTTGCTCATAATATGATTTCTCATCTGTGCGTCCCCTCCTCAATTCCCCTCCCCACCTTTTTTTTCCCATTTTTTCTATTTCTAACCTTCCTTATAGCAATGCCCAGTAGGAAGGCTGAACTAGGTAGCCCACTTACTATTACTTACTATAACCCACTATAACAGAAAGGCACACATACATACATACATACATACAGACACACACACACACACACACAAACCACACAAGACACACATACACACATACACACATACATACAAAGACACATACATACAGACAGGCACACATGCATACATACAGGCACACATGCATACATACAGACACACAGACAGGCAGGCACACACACATACAAACACACACAAGACACACATACATACAAACAGACAGGCACACATACATACAGACACACACAGAAATGCACACATACATACAGACACACATACACATACAAAGACACACACATAAGACATACATACAAAGACACATACACACATACATATAGACAGACACAAGACACACATACATACAAAGACACGTACACACACAACACATACATACAAAGACATGACACACATACATATATGCAGACACATACACACACACAAGACATACATACAAAGACACATACATACAAAGACACATACACACATACATACAAAGACACACACACATACATACAAAGACACACACACAAGACATACATACAGACAGACACACACACAAGACATACATACAAAGACACATACACACAAACAAACACACACAAAATATTTTAGTCACCCTCCTGTTTCCTACCTTTTAGGTGCACGAGGGTGACTTTCCCTGGGGTCCAGTGGTGGCTCAGGTGGATGGGAGTCAGAGTTCCCACTCTGACTCCCTCTGCTTCCTCCCGCGCGGTCTGTGTGTTAGCTGGGAGGAGTGATGTGCAGTCACTTCCTCCCAGCTCTGTGGTGTTATCATAGGGGGCCCGGTCACGCTGTTAAAGCACCCAGTGATGACTGGGCCCCCTTACAATCCATAACCATAAGATGAACTCCTTGGACGGCGGCCCCGGAGGTTTGCCACGCGGGCCAGGGCTGCAAATGGTGATGGCAGGTACCCGGTCGCAGGGGTACTGCCGGCTCGCACCCGCCAGCCCAATCTCTCAAAATGAGGAAATCCCTACCGCCCACCTGGAATCCTGAAACGCCCACTAGTGGGCGGTAGGGACCAGGTTGACAACCCATGGTCTACGGTGTCCCTTTAGCATGAAAGAAACTTTAAAAATGGTAAATTAGTATTTAAAAGTTGGTGTTTAGTGGCTACTTGCAGCAGCTAACGCAAAAACTAATTACAAATCAACCAAAACGGCCTGGCTGTTGTACTATTTTGTTGATTTTGGAACACACCCATAAGCGGTGATAATTTACATTATTTATATAATTACCTGATTTATAAGGCAGTAGAAAAAGAAGGGGATCAGAAAAGTACCACCCAATGACAGGCTGTGTGTAGTGAAGTGGATAGACTGTTAGAGGGAGAGAAGTCTAAGGAAAACTGTCATATCTCATGATGTTCTCTTCTTGTGTACTTCTTCTTTAGTGAGCTTCAGTTATCTAACCAAAGATCGCACTGCTTTCCCACATTGTGGACATTGGCACTCATCGCCAGGAAAAGTAGTGTGATCATATGTGTAATATGTCCCTTTTCTGATAAGTAAGGATATGTAAATCATGGTACAATTATGGAGGGCATTGTAGGTAAGTACTAAGATCTTAAAGTTAATCAACAATGATATAAAAATCCTAAATTAATTCACTGAAATATGTTTCAAATTAAAATTTACTGATGCTATGATAAGTTCCTCTTAATTCTTCGATTCATTTCTACTCCATGTCTTATGCGTTAGAACAGGTTTACTAAAGCAACAACTACAAAGTCTTCCTAATACTCTTCTTTCGCTCCTTTTATACAAAAAGAGAAGGAATTAGGGACCAACTTTATTGCTATTTGTGGAAACGAGCAATGGCCCCAGTCTTGACAAACCAGCCACAAACCCAAATAATAGAACAATAGTCCAGAAATCTTCCTCTTTGAAAACAAGTTCCCTTTATTATAACCTCATGCCAGACAATGCTTTGATTCAACTTATGGTATCTATCTAAAATTTTCTTCCTTGATTATTTGTCCAGACGTTTATTTCTCTTACATTTTATTTTATTTTTTCCATGTTAGATCTGTATTGATAAGTTATACATGAGTTTGATTCTTCCCTCCCACTTCCAGATTTTATATTCTAAGCACATTTTCCATTGTATACTAACTTAATTTGTGATTGTATCCATCCTGGAACACATATTCCTAATGTGCTGTGCCAGCCAAGACCACCAAGTGTATCCGTTACTTCACAGATATGTTGGGAGCCAAGGCAGGATTCTACAATGTTCTTTTTATGCTCTTAATATCCAGATCCCAATAAATGATCACTTCTCTAAAAAGTATGTAGGGTCTGCCTAATAGTAATAAACAGTGTATTGACTATATTATGAATTGAAATTCAGTTGCGATATTCAGTCTAAAATAGTCAAGCTATGACTGAAATCAAGTAGGGGAAATTTTCCAAACCAGATTTTTGGCATATAGTTCACGATATTTTTCTAGTTATTATTATTATTATTTTTGGCATTTATATAGTGCCAACTTATTCTACAATGCTTCAAAAAAGGGGGGAATTTAACAAAAAAAAACGGTCCAATTATGAAATATTACAGAAACAATAGGTTGATGGTCATCCTGCTCAAATGAGCTTACAGCACAGAGGAGGTGGGTAGAAAAATAGGAAGGACATTGAGGGGGATAGCAACCAAGTGACAGAGTCCGAAAGTAGCAGAATTGGAGGTGAGAGAGGAGTGTGGCCTTACATGAGAGAGCTAGAGACATATTTGTGAAAAATAAGTCACTCTGGGAGGCCTTTAGCTTTTCTGATGAGATGGGTTGTGATGGACTTCTTCCTTGATTGAAGACTAGGGGAGAGTCTGATGGGGGTAGGCAGGCTGTTTCGAAGGAAAGTAGCCACCCGCGAGAAGTCCTGCAAGGAAGGAGAAAGTCACCAGCAGATCGGAGAGACTGAGAAGGGGCATACCTACCAATTAGTGAAGAAATGTAACAGGGACTTGAGTTATTTAGAGCTTTATAGCTTCACTACAATTCACTGTTTAGTGAATAAACTTCACTGTTATTCCCTTAATCACAACACTTGAACAGAAGAGTGGGTAAGGTATGAATAAGCACTCACTTCGCATATGTTACATTCACTCTTGCCCAAGTGTGAGTAACTATGTCTGTAGGAGTGAGCTCTGGCACGTTTGCTATATGTGATCTATCAGATTTGCAATTTTTAAAAGATTTGCTGGCGTGTAATCCAATTTTACAAGCATACAATTCTGATTTAATAAAGACATGTTTAAATCCCTCTCTTATTAATGTATCCAAGTTAAGTGCAGCTTGGAGGCATATTTTGCTAAAGAATGTCTATGAGATATGTGTAAATAAAAAAAGAGCTTATTAAAAAGCTAATACTGCCTTTGTGACAAAGACATAGTAATCTCTTTTGCAGGTTCCATGTCACCTCTGGTTTCTGTTCACCTAAATCCATGTGTCATCAGTTATGCAATTTGTACGTACTGTGTGTATGTTGGAGTTTTAGTAATAAATATGTGACCATTCCAGACACCTAAACAATTCATCGAACAGTTTACCCCAAAGTCTGAATGAAAGCACCCAATTGCTCAGCCCCTCCACTTCCTGTATAGGTCCGAGGTCCATGAGGAAGCCTTGGTCTAGGTGCTAGTGATAGTCATTCAGAAATGTGATTGAAAAAGATACGTACCTTTTTCACGTACTTTTCAGTTCAGCTGACACCCTCATCCTCTTAGTGGCACTCAGTCTGAGGCTTGCTGATTGAAGGTAAGGTGGAGAATTAACACTGCCAGAAGTTTTACTAAATCCACTAGAGATTAATAGGAAATGCCAAATGCTAAGTAGCACCTGGTTTCTATGCTAAAGAGTAAAACATACTTCCTGATGCCTTTTTCGTTTGCTGATGAGCCATTTTCTTGCTGTATGTCCAGCGCAGCCAGGAAATGATTCTTAAAATGCTTGTTCGCTTCCATAAAAGCAAGTGAAAGATATTTTGATATTTTGCAAACATGCATTCTGCCGGATGCATTTGGTTCTGCATTTTAGTTAAATCAGTCCTTTGTGAATCTCCCAAATCCTTTACTCTGTATATGGTTCGGACACGAAAGCACTGATTTAAATCTGAATGCATTAAGGCAATTGCTGCTGATTCACTCTAGCTCGGTAATTATTAAAGTGCCAAGGGGTCACTCACACTTTGTAGTCAAATACTGAGCCTTCAGAAATCTTTAGAAATCTTTAGATAATTAGAAGATACACATCTAGAGATTTCTAAAGATTTCTGAAGGTTCAGTATTTGAAAACAAAGTGTGAGTGACCCATTGGCACTTTAATAATTACCCTGTTGGGTTTCACAGTGTTGCACTGTGTTCTATTATTTTTGTCTCCCCTAGCTGGACTCACCCTATATATTATATTTAGATTGATTGAAGATTTGAGGAGATCTTTGGGTTACCCCATTGCTAGAAGGGAAGTCAAGTGTTTTATATGCACTTTAACTCACTTTAGCACTTTATTATTCCAATTAGTGCAATCACAAGCATATGCACTTTATTGAATTGAAGCACTTTAAATTGTATGATATTGTGAAAGATTTTGTATTTTTTTGATTCACTCTGGCTGACTGAATTCCAGCTATAGTTTGCTTTAGTAAATATGAGAATTGCCATTAGAGTCAGAAATCGGACATTTTAACCAGAGTTTGTCTGGATGACCTTCACCAGAGTGCCCCACACAAACATACTGACACACACAGTGACCCATACAAACATTCTGACACACACACACACTGACCCATACAAACATTCTGACACACACACACACACACACACACACACTGACCCATACAAGCATACTGACACTCAGTGACCCATACAAACATGCTGACATACACAGTGACCCATACAAACATACTGACACACACACACAGTGACCCATACAAGCATACTGACACTCGGTGACCCATACAAACATGCTGACATACACAGTGACCCATACAAACATACTAAGACACACACACACACACAGTGACCCATACAAGCATACTGACACTCAGTGACCCATACAAACATGCTGACATACACAGTGACCCATACAAACATACTAAAACACACACACACACACGCAGTGACCCATACAAACATACTAAAACACAGTGACCCATACAAACATACTGAAAACATTGACATTTTAAAGCAGTTTTTAACCTGTATTTTGTTTTTGCAACGAAAACCCCATAGTCTATTAGTTTAAATATTTTTCTTAGGATACCCTGTAAGATAGATAAGAATCAGATTCTTGATGCTGACAAGGTCTAAAGATTTATTTTTCTATATGTCCTGCTTGTGTTTGGAAAGAAAATATGTGGCATTTGCCTTCTTAATCATATTCAGACATCTGGACCTATGACTTGAACATCTGGCTTCATGGTGTGATGAACGATTAACATGGATGTAAGCCAATGTACAAACACGGCTAGACACAGCTCACGGGGAGATACTTTATGAATATGGAAACATGCAATTCGTGAATTTGGTCAATAAGCTTTGCTTACTTAACGTTTTGATAAATGAGTGCTAATTGCAACTGGGTAATAATTAAAACAGAAATTTCTAATAGGGGCTTTGTTAATTTTGTTCAAAGTAAGCCTGCAGCTGCAGAGTACATCTTGGGAGAAGACATTATCCAGTGATGTTTTTGTCTCTTATGAGTATATTTAATCATAAATTAAGGTTTTCGTTAAAATGAACAGTTTCATTAATTAACGTACATTTTTTTTTATTGGAACCTATACATACCTACATACCTACTACATTCATAGATCATATATCATGGATTATTTCTACCGCAATTTGCTGTTTACGGTTTGTTGATATATTAACGTCAACATATTTGACTAAAACGTTACTATATAATTTTATGCTCATTTTTAATTAGGAGAAGAACAGAAGTAGTTTGTGAGTGTGAGTGTCTCTCTTTATTCTTTTAAATCAAATTGAGGGCATTTTAGTCAACATATGCACATGTGATATCCTCCATAACATTTTATGGGTTGGCAATAGATTAGTGTGGAGATCTCACCTTTTTCCAGGTTTTTGTGATGAGAAGTGAAGGTGGAACACACACACGCACGCACGCACGCACGCACGCACGCACGTACGTACGCACGCACACACACACACCCAATATAACAGTAATATAATAAGTGAATTATATGTATCTCCCGCCTTGACATCTTATAATGTGCAACCATGGTTACAGAACATTATAAAAAATACACAGATAGGAGGCTTTAAAAATATCTCTACTTTAGAATAAACAGTGGAATAATGTATTCAGTTTAGAACACACAAAAAACACAATTTCTACGTCTCCCAATGTCATATTTTGCTAAAATAGCAGCACTCCATAATGATGATTTTGTTACAAAAAGAGACTGGGAGAATACGTATAACAATTAGATACTACCCAATCAGTTTCCAAAGAAAGAAAGCAAACAAATAAATATATAAACATTTTTCAAAGGGGAAGAGAAGATCAAATAATCTATATGAATATACTAAACCACATGTTTTAGTGATTATATTTTCCAGCCGGATGAGCTAACAGAATATCATTTTTTCAGTGTTTGAAATATAACTG